GGGGGGGGGTGGTGGTGCAGCGGGTACAATGGCTGGAGTGGCCGTGGCAGCAAACTTCATCAGTGGGATCCTTGTTTACCCTCGTCAGGGAGCACTAATGGCATATGGTTTAAAAGTAAAGAGAGGGGCGCCTGGGTGGCGCAGTCGGTTAAGCGTCCGACTTCAGCCAGGTCACGATCTCGCAGTCCGTGAGTTCGAGCCCCGCATCAGGCTCTGGGCTGATGGCTCGGAGCCTGGAGCCTGTTTCCGATTCTGTGTCTCCCTCTCTCTCTGCCCCTCCCCCGTTCATGCTCTGTCTCTCTCTGTCCCAAAAATAAATAAAAAACGTTGAAAAAAAAGATTTAAAAAAAAAAGTAAAGAGAGACAACGAAGTCATTTGGGTACCTACCTGAAAACTCACTGCTCACATACGTTGGGCCGCTTGGTAGATTCTTAGTATGTTCCTTCTCACGACGACTCAACTTTCTTGTGCCACGTACCCAAGGTGAAACGCAAGGACCCTACTCAGAACACACGTATGTATGTGTGTGTATGTGTGCGTATATACTTACATATTTCTATGATACGATGGACGAGTAGTAGTATATAATAGTTTTAGGTTGTGTTAATATGTCCTACCACTTCACATACAATACAAAAAATCGACGTATACCAACGTTTACCTATCATTCTTTGTGCTGTTGTTGTGATACATTTTATTTGTACATGTTATAAACTCTACGTGATATGATTCTGCTTTAAGCAGTCAGCCTTTCAAAGAAATTTAAAAATGAGAAGAAGTAGTTTCTATTTAGCCACATATTTACCATTATGAAATTCATTTCTTTGTTTAGATCCAAGTTATAATTTTTCATCACTTTGAATACTCCAACAATTTTGATAGTGTAGGGCTTCTTATGATGAATTTTCCCCGCTTTTGTTTGAAAATGTCTCCATTTTACCTTCATTAAAAAAAATGTTTTTTGAAGTTTATTTATTTTTGAGAGAGACAGAGACAGAATGCGAGTGGGTCAGGGGCAGAGAGAGAGGGAGACACAGAATCCGAAGCAGGCTCCAGGCTCTGAGCTGTCAGCACAGAGCCTGACGCGGGGCTCGAACCCACCGGCTGTGAGATCACGACCTGAGCCGAAGTCAGACGCTCAACTGACTGAGCCACCCAGGTACCCTTAGGGTCACAGGAAATTGTAACAACAGTTCAGCGAGGTCTCGTATACCTTTCACCCAGTTACTCCCAATGTTTATATCTCACATAAATGTAGTATAACATCAAAACCAGGTAATGGATGTTGGCATAATGTGTGTGTGTAATTCTACGTAATTTTATCACGTGTAGATTTATGTAACCACCACTGCGGTCCGGGTGCAGAACAGTTCTATCACCACAAAGATCTCTCTTGTGCTACTATTTTATAATCACACCCACCTCCTTCCTCCCAATTATTCCTAACCCCTGGCACTACTAATCAGTGTTCAGTCTCTGTGATGAGAATGTTGTATAAATAGGCACAGAGTATGTGAGCTTTTGACACTGGCGGTTTTCATTGAGCACAGTGCGTTTGAGATCCATCTAGGTTGCTACATGTTTCAATAGTCGGTTCCTTTTTGTTGCTGCGAAGTATTCCATGATGTGGATGTACCACAAATTGTTTATTCACCTACTGAGGAACATTTCGATGGTTTCCAGGTTTTGCTATCGTAATAATGTGCTATAAACTTAAATGTACAGGTTTCTGTGTGGATGTAACTTTTTAATTTCCCTGGGATAAATGCCCAGCAATGCAGTTTCTGGGTCATATGGTATGTTTAAGCTAAAGTTGAATGTTAAGCTTTTAAATACACTGCCACCCTGGGGCGCCTGGGTGGCCCAGTC